ATAATAATAATAATAATAATAATAATGATAATAATAATGATGATGATGATGATGATGATAATAATTATAATTAATATTATTATTATTATTATTAATACTGTAGTAATGATGATTTCAATAACTTTAATAGTGGCTACTGGCTCTCTGGTGTGACGATTTTTTTTCCACCACATTCGCAATATCATCTGTTCCTGCACTCTTTACTCAATATTGAGCCCCAGTGCAGTACGGTACCCTACAAATACAGATTAATCTTTCTCTTCATTTCTATGTTTTTCAATTCCGACGCTAATAATTTACCTAAACAATTATAATATCAAATTGTATTGTTCAAGAAAATAATAGCTCAACGCCGACCGTGGTCTATAAGTTTAACAGGCCTTAAGCGTCATTTGGCGAGGACTGATATCGAATGCCCATAAATAGTTATCTGACCAATCGAGATTGGAATCGATAGTAATATAACCAGTATACCGGGATTAACAGAATGAGTTGGTAAAACGACGCTCATTAAGACAATTCTCACATATTTCTTATACGTATTAACTATAGACTGTCTTCAAAATGAAACAAAAAAAGTGTACATCCAGGCTATAGCTCTCTGAGAAGGGATTAATACGTCTATTTTGGGATAAATAGATTACGGATCCAGCAACGAATAGACGTCGTTTAAAACCAATTTTTGAAGCCCGAACGACCCTAATCACTTCTAACATCAATTCTACTACACACGCTACTCCTACAACATCTAGAGATATTATTATGGGGAATTCTTTTGTTTCAAGTACCAATTTAAATTGTTCACACGATGATTGGACGTATATAAGGTGACCCTGCTCGGTTACAAAAATGGTGTGCCTAATTCATGATTCAATGATTTACTGAGTGGTAGAATAAAAAAAAAATGACCTAAAGAAATGCAAGTGATTTGTCCACCAGTCGCCAAGTATCCGACATTTAAAAAAATGACCTAAAGAAGTTCAAGTGATTTGTCCAGTCCGCAAGTATCCGACCCATAGGGCTAGACCATCATGAATTCCGCGTTCACGACCTCTGAGTTAGGAGTCATCGACCGGGTTTCTTCGTACATGTCAGATTTTTACAGTCTACGTATTCGCGGATCCGTGCAAGAGGTACGCCCTCTCATTGACTGAAAGTGTCTTAATACATGTTAGCGTATGGCCTACGACAGGACAATTACGAGGTGATGAAAGATCGTATTTCTACAGAATCAAGGCAGATTATTGTGTATTTCCTCAATACCGGCTGCTCCGAAACCAAGTGCCGTTGGGGCAAAGGCAACCACAGCTACTCCTGCAGCTCCTGCTGCCACCCAATTCATTAACCCTGTAAATAATCACACGTCCCAATGTATTTATCAATTGTCTGTTTAATATATTTTTCTAGTTTGATAATTATTGGTAGCGGCTTATACTATACTTTATCCACAAAAACAACATGTTATGTTTAAAAGTAGGCCTAGATGTATTATATTATTCAGATAATATAATTAAATTAGATGCAATGAAGTTGAGTACTGTACTCTGTACATTAGTGTAGTACCAATGTAGAAAATATGGAGAAAATATTTTATCTTAATATATTTTCTCCATGTTGTAACTGATCAAATGTTGTGCTGTCAAGATTATTTATTTCCTTGGTGTTGTTATAAATAAGGATTTACTTGTTAATTATGACATAATTATAAAAGGTAAGTCTCCCATTGATATGGAATGTTTGTACACAGTGCTATGCACTTCAACTCTGTGATCTCAACCACTGATTTGTCAGATAGGTGTGACGTAATATACAAATAGACCTATTATATTGTTTACCTGCATTTGCTGGCTGAGTAGCTGTGGACAAAATCAGAATGGCGAACACGGTTGCAGTGAGTTTAGTCATCTACAGAAAAAAGATACAGAGAAGCAGTATTCAATTCTATAGCCACTGGACTTCTGCTTTCTAAAACATGGGTTAACTCTAGGCTTATAACTTCATTCACCACTGACGTAAAAACTAGTCATTTGAATCGGAGGCGAGTACAGTTTTGGGGCCCTTGCACGTTAGCAAGGTAACTACTTTCGCTCACAAAGTGGCCGAGATTGGGTATAAATCTCTCTATATGAATGTTAAGACTGGAAATACAGCATTTAATTGAAGGGCACCGATCTGCTTTGAAAGGTGGAGGTGGGAACATTCCGTGGAGACCACACCCAACTCAGCCCCACCATGGTTGGGACTGAGGTGCGAAAATTTGAGGATAGTACTCTCTTGATGCAAAGGCGCAGATCCGTTTTGAAAGTTGCGGGGGGTGGTGGGGGGGGGGATTTCGTGAGAACACACCCACCTTATTCCCACCATGGTTTGGGATGAGGTGCAAACATTTGAGGAAAATGGTGTCTCTAGATGGCCGAAAATGACACTATAATACAGTAAACTTTATCACCTCACCATTATTTCTCATGATCTTTTATCAGCAATTTTCGGCAACTATAGAGATAAAATTAATGTGTGATGTACCATTAAAAAATAAAACTTGAAAACATTGTCTTTATTGTAAATACTCTACTTTACCTACTTCAAATCCGCGAGTCCACCTCCACCTCAGCCCCACCATATTTGAGGCTTTCGCTGAGGTGCGAATATATAATTTTGTTAAATAATCAGCTGTCTCTTATACACATCTAGATGTGTATAAGAGACAGTGTTGTAGCTGACTGCAAGAATGACATCGTTTGCACAATATGTAATGGTTCGGGTCATGTTTTCCGGAACTGTCCGGTTTCCTTCAGCGCGAAGGCTCGTGGTAGTGCGGAGGTGGTGGTGGATGTTGGGGAAGTAGATGGGGTTGTGCGGAAGGGTATTGCTGTGGGAGAGGAGGAGGTCGGTGAAGTTTGTGTCAGAGGAGGAGATTGAGGTGGATCCTGATGAGGGTAGTAGTGATGTGTGGGCGGATTCCGCGATGGGGCCTTTTTCCGATTCGACCGAGCAGAGGTTGGTTATTGATGAATCCAATGGTTCCAATGGTTCATCGGATGGTACTTGGAGGAGAAGGCGTTTTTACGTAAACAGGTCTTGGCAGCGAGGAAGAAGCTCCAGGCTTCTAGGTTCACAAAGGAGAGAGGTCTTGGGATTACCTGCCCGCAGTGTAAGATGAAGATGTCTTATTCCTCTTGGGAATCGTTCATTGACCATATCGATAAAGAACACCCAGACGCGGAGGTTATGATTGGTTGCCCGGTTAGATCTTGTAAATTTCGTGCTTCTAGACCCTTGGAACTTGTTCCACACTTGGCAAGTCACCATACTGGTTTTGTTTTAAAATCTTCTGCTCGCGATTTGGTTCGTTCGCCTGTGTTTGTTAGATAGTTGATATGCATTGTTTTCAGGGTGTGTTTTGTTTTGCTTTGGTTTTCTTCTGTGTAGTGTGTAGTTACGTTTTGTTCCTAGGTTTGGTAGTTTCGTTTTGTTTGGTTTTTAGTTTCTGTTACAGTTGGCAGGGAGTCTCGTAGGCTCACGTATTCCGGTCTGCCGTGGGCAGCCTGCCTGAGGGTTTAACGCTTTGTTATTATTTGTTTGTTATTCAATCATTAGTTGCGTTAACTCTTAAATCAAAAAGGAGTTTATATACAAAATTACGTTAAAATGCCATAAAAAATACATGATACTGTATAATTTACGGATTTTACATGGAATATATGGTAGAATTCACTGTGATTTAACGGGAAATGTTATACTAAATTGTCGTACTGTAAATTTACATGCAAAACTGTACCGTTGCCACAGTTGTATATATATATATATAATTGAAGTAAAGTTATTATATATAAATAATGACTGATAGTCATTATTTATAAATAATTATATTAACATCATTATATTTATCTATAATTGTTCGAAGTTATATAAACCTGTCTCTTATACACTTCGAACAATTATAGATAAATATTATGATGTTAATATAATTATTTATAAATAATGACTATCAGTCATTATTTATATATAATAACTTTCGGCACTTCAATTATTTATGAATAATGTTTTGCTACTTTAAATTATTCATAAATAATGAAAATCGCTCCACCAATTATTTATATATAATTGTTGGAGGCAAAATTAACTATATGTATATAATGAACAAATGTTGAATTATATATTAAATAATAAATTATATGTATATAATTTTGTTAAATAATGTAAGTACATTTGGCGCCTAAAATAATAGTATTGTACTCGCTTTATTTTACCAGGGAGGTTTTTATAACTCCCTGCTCTAGTATTCTTAACTCGTCATGTGCATACATCGCCATTAGTATGGTTGTTAAACATTCCTTTTATTAATGAAGTGTTATTACAGCTTTGGCCAACCAATCAATATTTATCACTCAATAAACAGGCATTGTATTATCCACCAATCAATTTTAAAAACATGTGCGTATGTGTGCTGAAGAAATTGACATTGAATGAAATCACAGTATATGGCTTCTGAAATTTATTAATGTTGTTCGCCTAATGTAAAAGAAAATATTTACTTCTCCTAAATGATACAGAACTAGAAAATCCTGAACAATATCAAAGAAAAGTGTAATATGTACCGGTACAGTATACTATTTTCAAAAGCATTTTATAGTCATAGCCGTCGGAAGCATTTTGCAAGTGGTCCGGCCATTTTAATAAGAGTGGGCATGGGTAGGTGGTGGGGTGCAACACATTTTTTTTTTCACCATGGTTGAAGAAATGGCTCCTCAGCCGGGAAATAGCACATGCATAATTTTAGAAAAATTAATCTCTTTTAATTTAAGGCCAATTTTAATTGGAAGTAGGCCTAATCAGGGCCGGCTTAGCCATTATGCCTTTGCCAAACTTTTATAATAGTTATTTGTTATTTTATGTTATACCTTCAAACATTTTAAAAATAAATCTTATATATTAAAATTAAGTACTGTCAATGAAATTGAAATGTACACGGCTATACAAAAAAAAAAGCTCATGGTGGATTAAAAAAATATATAGGCCAACAGGCTTATACAGCATCAAAAAGACAATGTGATACAAACATTAATAATAAATCCACATAATATAGTAATGTAGGCATATTCATTAAAATAAGTACAGTTCTCCCTCCAATTAAAGACCCCTCCAGTTAGCTGTTTCCTAATTAAATATTTCCTCTATTTAGAGACCATGGTTTTGGTAGCTTCACTACAGAATAAACAGTGATCTTAATGCATTTTTTATACAATAAATTGTGTTTTATATAGGCCTATTTCATTCATTTTCGTGTTTATTTCAGACAATAACAATAATAATAAAAATACATGGTGCGGTACAATATTCTCCGTAGCTCAAACATTAGTAACAGAGGCCGAAAAATGACCAAAACAATAAAATAAGCAAATCAAATCTTTACATTAATAATAATTTCTCAATCTACAATTGAGAGTGGATGATTACATTTAGTACCCATGGGTTCCAAGTGTCCCGTACTCGGAATGGAGTCTCCTGGCTGGCAGGAAGGACTCCCGCATTCTGGCCCACGCGCACGAGCATGAATCTCCCGAAATAAACCATCTCCTGCAAATTCAATATGATATTTGCATGCTTTATCAAGTTTTTATACTGTAACATCAATTGTCTGCGCAGCAGTTAGTACCAATCATTAATGGTTATCACCATGCACAGCAAAATTTAGATGTCATAAGAAAATTTATTTAAACAGATCTCCCGGATATGGATTCTTCCATAATGGGACCCCTGTTTAGTTCTTAATTAATTATAGGGATTCTATTAGACACCAAAAGACCAAACTGAAAAGTATTGGTTTTAGTCGTTTTACGCACTACAGAAATCAAAATATACATCAATAGCCGACGTTCTGTTTACAGTGCTCCGTATTGAATGCCATTAATTTTAGTTGGACAGTAAAATGTTTCGAATTAAATGGAGCACAAGACTACTTCGTGTGTGGCATGCAGTAATCCATTCAAACACTAAAGAAAAATTCAACCGTAATGCATAATATCATAGTTTTGGCAGACCTAAACTAAAAATGTTTCCTTCATTAAATAAATACATTAAAATATAGGCCTATAAAATATAGGCCAATTATACGATAATGAAATGGCGAAATCAGAATGTACCTGAGCGAAGCCAGTTTTTAGTTGAATTACTAGAACATGTTAGACTACCATTAATGGGCATTGACCAGCTGACAGAACTTGTTGAGCCTGCTCTGAGGGATGTCCAGATAGCTGAAATTAACGAGCGTATCCAACAAGTAAAACTGTACCATGCATCATCTGGAACAACAAAGTACAAGATAGTACTTCCACAATTGCAGACAACCCCAAGAAAGTTAAACACAACGATTATGCTAGCTAAGATGTGTATAAGAGACAGCTGTATTTATGTAAGTTATTAACTTACAATAAATTTGAATGTGAAAAAAAGCCTCCGTCAATTTAAGCAATCCTGTTAGGTATCAACCAATGTTTCTTTTGCCTTCTTGTCATGTTTTTATACGTTTACCGTTCGTATTATTTTATATATTTTGACGAAGAAATGATATTAATATATATGATAATTGAAGCATTTTCCAACTTTTTGGCAGAGAGTACATCTTTAGCAGTACGTCATATCAAGGACTTAATTCGAAGCGTATATGAAGGTATTGTAGGTATAACCATGGAGGAATTAGTTTAGAAACTAAACTAATTCCTCCATGGTATAACAGCCGTTCATTTTGGATCAACCCCCTAATCCGCCTATGCCTATGCAAATTAACTCGGTCCAACCAACCGAACTAAAGCTAATTCGGACCTAAGCCAACTCAGCCCAGCAAATAATTTGTACCAAAAAGGTAAAAAAAAAGAGGACAGATAGATTGAGTGTAACGTAACCGCTGGGTCCCAGGCATTAATTTGGGTTTAATCAGTGAAGTATGTGAAATATCTTTTATTGCGCTCATTGCGCGGAATACTAAAATCAATTGGCGTTCCATACACTCTTTCTATCCATCTGAGAATCTAGTGTTTTTACGACCGCGGTATCTGGCCGGTACAGTGGATTGTTGAATATTTTGATAGAAACCAGAACTCTCTAAAGACACTGGGAATACCAAAAATGCAACGACTATCTCTCTTATTTTTATTTACATCATTACAAATAGTGTAATACAGTATTTTAACAAAATGGCTGCATGAACAACACGGCCCTCATAGAGTCTAGTTTATTTGGATTTTTATTCAGGAAAAAAAACAAATCACATTCAAAAGAGTTCATAGCAGCATAATGCTAAATTGTGCAACGGAATTTAAAATGTCAGGATCTAGGTCTATCTAAGTCTAATTTTAAGACTAATCGGCATATAAAGTACAGTATTAAAAACAGTGCAGAAATTTGTTTTGGAATGAACTTGCTTGTTGGTGGCGCTAGTCCAGAAAGAGAAAGTCTAGGCGGTGTTGTGACGTAATTGTGGGTTGGATACTTGGATACGTACAAAAAACGCGATGGGGGCGGAAGTATACAGTGGATGCGAAAGGCGGAGTTTGACGTTTCTTATTACATTTTTTTTGTTTTAGCGTTGCAATCAATGTGTTACACTCTTAAAATATTATGCTAATGTGCCGAATAATAGCAGTATTCAACTAATGTGACCCGGAACACCAGAGAGAAGACCCTACTACGTACGATTCCAGTTCAAAACTCAGTTGATCGGTTCATGATGGGAGCCTATCTAGCTAGGCCTAGCCTTGCTTGGAGGAACCTACGCCCTTATTAGGACTTACTACTTGTAGGGGCTAGGGCGCTAACTAAGGCTAGTCACTTGATTTCATCTGGCTCTGAACCTCAGTGTCAGCGATAATTCCTAGATGAGTATCGTCAACAAGCATGTTTACAATAACAGAAGAGTGGTAATAAAGCCGTGTTAGTCTAAACAATATACAAAGAAAATAAAAGGCAGCACTCTCTGACCTAAGTGAGACTAACTTAGGCCTAGGGACTAGATGTTATTTATTCAACACGAGCTTTCGCTGGCAGTCAATGCCAGCTTCATCAGGTGTGTGAAATAAAAAATTACAGAAGATTTAGTGTTTTTGACTACCTAACCAAAGAATGAATTTTATACAGTACAGAAATATCAACTTTGTATAGGTAGATAGGCAAGGCCTAGTTAAATGATAATGCTAGCCTACACTGCATTGAAACAGTGTAACATAACATTTTTTTCTATGACAATGACATTTTTGGAAAATAATTCTGATCACAATTTAACATTATGGCAGTGAACGAAGAAAACTGTAGGCCTGAATTAATGATTGATATAAAGTCTACATACTGTTCACGCTTGCTTGATGGCTTACGTGCGGCACAGGCAGAGAGCTTACTTGCTGATGTCACCATCAAAGCAGGCAGTCAAAGATTTTCCTGCCACAGAATTATTCTTGCAGCAAACAGTGACTACTTTAAAGTTATGTTCACCTCCAATTTTCAAGAGAAAGAAGCACCAGAAATAGTTCTCCCAAGCATTGATGGAAATATATTTGCATTACTGCACAAATTCCTATACTCTGGGGAATTATGTATTAAATTTGAGGATCTTCACTCATTCTTACTTGCTACTGATTTTCTACAAATGTCAGAATTACCGAAAATTCTATCGGATGCAATTTTAAAAAGTGCAAAAGGAGACGATTACGTGTATCTTTACCAAACATTACATGTATTGGACTCGTATGCATCATTAGTTGACGATTTAAAGTGCAAGATTTGTAGAGATTTTAATGTCTTATGCCAGACCCAGTCATTCCTTAATCTTTCCAAAGATGCTGTTGTTAGTATAATCACCGATAAGCGCCTTGTGATTTTATCAGAAAAGAATTTATTTGATGCGATAATGAAATGGCGAAATCAGAATGTACCTGAGCGAAGCCAGTTTTTAGTTGAATTACTAGAACATGTTAGACTACCATTAATGGGCATTGACCAGCTGACAGAACTTGTTGAGCCTGCTCTGAGGGATGTCCAGATAGCTGAAATTAACGAGCGTATCCAACAAGTAAAACTGTACCATGCATCATCTGGAACAACAAAGTACAAGATAGTACTTCCACAATTGCAGACAACCCCAAGAAAGTTAAACACAACGATTATGCTAGCTATATCCGTATCAAGTGAGGCGGACACAAGGTGTACCATTTTTCAGCTCGTAATACCCCCGCATTCATACACAAAAGGTTTGAAACTCTCAAAAGTATGTAGTCTAGAGTGTCGGGGAATAGATGCGATGACTTTCACAAACACGAACATCTTCTACACTTCTTCAATGGACTTGTGGCAGTTTGATCTGGACAACAGATCCACTAAACGACTTCCATTGGGAAAGTTCCTGGGTAATCACCCTCTTGGAAGCTCAAAACTAACCTCGCATCACGACTTATTGTACGCATTTGTCAAGGGTATTGATCTTGAAAAGCGCGTTCTTGTGTACGATCCATCCACTGAGAATTTCGAGGTCTGTTCTCCGCTCCCAGGATTTGAATTTACATGGGAAAACTTAGTTTCTTGCACATGCGGTGTATTCATGTTCGTAAAAATGTTCCCAACGAAAGTGATTCATTGTTACCAGTACCATGCCGAAGACAACTCCTGGTCCACCCACGATCTGAGAAACACGGAAGAACTTTACATGATAGGGTCTTGGGAGAATAACGTTTTCTTCCGTGCATCTCAAGAGATGCTCTACTGTTACAATACACTTACAAAAACGCTTTCCGACTTCACACCACTGCCTCCTGTCAGTTTTAGCGGTGATAGAACGTATATTCAAATGGTTGCCGTCGGTGGGCATATATACCAGCTGTCCCTGGATAAGGATGCAGCGGCGTATAACTTGATGGTTCATCAGCTGATAATGGAAGAAGGTGCTTTTACCGAGCCTTACTGGAATTTACTGCTTCAAGAACCTGTTGTACCAATATTGCAAACCGAGCTCTATCCATTTGAATGTAGTGACTGGTTTGGGGTGCAGCTAGAAGCATTTGTGGTATAACAATTTATAATTACTGAACACAGTCTGTTACTGGTCTCACATAAACTCTTTTTATGGGCTTTGCTTGTCACATGTGGGGCTTATGTCCTCCTCTGCCAGTCCCTGCCCACTACATTATAGTAAAAAAATACTACAGTAATTGGTCATAAATAATGACAATAAATTTATACTATTAATGATTCTGATAATAATTATTTAATGATAAAAATAATAGTAACCGTCATAAGCAATAATAATTTAGACTAATTATAATAATCAAAATAATATATAACAACAGTTACAGTATAGTAATTTAAAAAATCTCCACAATTCTGTAAGTATGGTAATATTATTTTTGTAATATTACAGTATACCAAAAGTGTAACATACCTTATCAAAACAAACTAAAATTATTGATTTGTGTTCAGTACTACAATTAGATTTTAAAAAGTAACATTTTTAATAATTTTTTACTTTACCTATAGTTAGATTGTAATTTTTAACAAGTAAAAAATAAACATTGATATATTAGTTATGAATTAATATAATATTCCATGTTCTCCCAATTGAAATTTATGTCCATACAACTATAAATTTATGTCCATATAAAATCACCTGAGTGTAGAGCGTGAGACGATATCCCTTAAGGCACTGTAGGGTTCAGTTCCAAAAAAAAAACAACTCTGTCATAGCCCAGGCTTAGACTGGAAAGATGTTCATTTGAAATTGAAAGGTAACATTTTTGAGAGGACACTGATCCTAATTATATGGTAGGAATTTTGCAATAATAATATATTAAGGCTCATGATGTTTAAGTAATTTTTTTTTTTAATGTGCTACGGTAATACTGTACTATTATTATTAATATTACTTATTACTACTATATTATCATTATTATTATTACTAATAGACAATGCAACATTCCCAAATATAATAACCTTTGAACCCACAATGGTGGGAATTTTTATAGCACCTTGTTAATAATACTTCTTTAAGTCAAACAATATTATTATTATTATAAACTAAAGGCTGAGATTAAGTTATAAAACTTATTTGCCCCAGCACAGTTAAATTTGAAAATTACTGTTGGTTGTTTGGCTGGCTGGCGTGCGAGCAATTTATTCATTTTATTATTATTGACATTACTTATCCCATATTGCTTAAAGCGTCAAATATAATTAAAGCTTTGACAGTAGCTTTTTCGAACATCATACAAATATGTTGGACTAGTCCAATCACAAATATATATATATGTCTTGCTTAGGAAAAAAAAATATGACCCTAGATTTTAAAATGTTATCGATAAATTTTTTGGCAGTTTTTTATGCCCTGTTCATAAATACTGTAGTATTGTAGTAATTATAAAACAATAATAAACAAACTAACATAACTGGTACTGTCTCTTATACACATCTAGATGTGTATAAGAGACAGCCCTTAAGGCACTGTAGGGTTCAGTTCCAAAAAAAAAAAAGACAACTCTGTCATAGCCCAGGCTTAGACTGGAAAGATGTTCATTTGAAATTGAAAAAAAATAGAATTACTATGTTTGATATTTAAATAAAATAATTTTAATGAAGTAGAGATTGATTTTTACTAGAAATGTACTCTGTGCATTCTAGATTTAGTATGTGGGAATAAATAACTTAGGCTGGGCACACACTGCGGCAACGGTCATCAACCCACACGAATCTGTAGACAACGCATCATGATGGGAGGTGTACGCAACAGGTTTTTATTTAATGACGATCCGCTACGTCTACCATCAACAATCAGTAGTTGGCGCTATGTCATCAAGCGCTCGCTGAGAGCAGAATTAATGGATTTGATGGTCGTAATGCCGTAGTACGCCACAATGTGCGCCCAGCTTAATGATAGACTGGTGTTGGTTGGTGAGCCTATTAAATATGGATAAACATTGCCATTTCAATATAACATAACAATGCAACTACAGGATATAACTTGAATGTAATTATGAAGTTTTCACCGATGGTCTTTATGGAAATTGTTATTTCGTTTTGTTTTGATCAGTGCTAAGACAGAGTACTGTATCACTTTTTATCATAAATTTATTTTTATATTTTTAAAAATTTAAGTGCTCTATGTTATTCGGATTGTGACATTGTGTTGTTTCTCATTGTGTAGTCTTATATTAAACAATTGTTATTTACAGTGTTTCAGTTTTAAGAAAAAAAAAAACCATATAGTACTTCTTCTTTATAAAGTTGTTGTATGTGGTCATTGAATTTTTGTTTTATTTCTCTTCCTGTTCTATTAGGACTACTGTATATATCGTTACTGTGTCGTATATATAAATAGATAATATTTAATAAATTTTGAATGTTAAGAAGAGGAATGTGTTAGCATGAAAAAAAAAAGTTTCCCAGACCAGGATTTGAACCTGAGACCTTCTATTGTCTATGCAGGCGCCTTAACTCACTGGACCATTTACGCTTTGATAATTATTCAAAATTTGCAACCAACCTCCCACTCTCGTACATACGTTATACAGCACTAAACTTTGATGCATGGAAATAACAGTGATCAATATGATACACATAGTGGCTGATCCAGGAATTCGAAAAAAGCTGTAAAGGGTGGGGGGTGGGCAGGAAGAGATTTTCACAGATAGAGGGTGTAGACAGCCGCGGATCCAGACCTTCGCCCACCAGTTTGCCCAGGCGAGGGTCTGGGCGAGAAATAAAAATATAATGTTGACCATTTTTCCAAAAATCATAGGCCCTACTTACCTTCATTGACTCTTATTTTGAACATTACCATTAGGACTCTATTTAAATCCACTCTAGCCTATATCTTACACTTTTACACTGATTGTACTGTAGGCCCTACCTGAGAAGTACATTGCCATTACATTATGGTCTTCCATTTCTATAGCGCATGATACAGTGCATAATGAACGTTACGAAACCACTACTAATCCAGAGTCGCTCAGCTCATGTATCTATCTTGGCATTTTTAAATCAGACATACATTCACATGAACAACAAAACGATTGAAAATATATTTGGGATTAATTGTTTTCAGCAACAGTGGTTAGTAGTGACGCGAAAATTCAGTATTTTATACCTCTGGAGGCCCAGAAATGGAACTTAAATTACCTTTGAATTCTTTTTATTTTTGACGAATTGAGTTAACAAAAAAAAAAAAAAAAAACGAATTACAGTAATTGGCGCTTCAATACATACAATTCTAAAAACTACCATATCCAACTGACAATTTTGACAATTTAGGGTTTTCAAAGGCTTATTCAATCGATTTTAGAGTCTACTAATATGTAGAAAAATACCAATTTTTTTTTTCACCCGGCCCCCGCTGGCGCCAACCCTGGATCTCCTTACGGTTTTGTGGCACAGGTAGGCAAATTTTAAGAGACTTTATAGATGCCCGAAAAAATTTAAGAAACTACGCCCACCATGGTTGAGGCTGAAGTAAGACAATTGTAAGAATTTGAGATTTTTAGATGCCGGAAAATAGCATTTTAATACATAAAAACTACGAAAATTATATAGCCACCTGATCCTTATCATGGATGAGGCTGAGGTCAGAAAATGTTTAGAATTGGGGACTTTTAGATGCCAGGAATGACACATAATACTTAAAATTATGTCGGTTGTTTTTTAACATTTAAAAAGGGGCACATTATTTTGTTTTCAACCTCCGAGGACACCCTCCACCCCCCACCCCTGAAAAATAACTTCATTTCTACTTCTGTAGCAATTTCCAGCAAATGTTAACCTTAGTGCCCTCACAGTTCTTGATACAGGGGAAATTTCTCCATACAGGTCTTTATTTGTAATATGTTGTTTATAGTTGATATTCTGGCGTGTCTCTGAGTAAACAACCAACTCCTCTCTCTCAAGAATATGTTTTTATCTTTTTATAGAAATTCCATAATAAGCAATATTTGTTTTAAAACCCTAGGTCACCTGGGTTTTAGAGGATTCCCCCATTCAGTGGCGGATTCAGAAAGCCAGTCAGCCCGGACCCTGATAAATATTTCAAAATTATTTTTAAAGAATGGAGAAAAACCTGAAAATTATATTCAAATCTGAGAGTGCCATTTCTGACCATCTAAAGGCGACATAATCTTAATTTTTCTTACCTCAGCCCTAACCATGGTGGTCTATGTGCACCCGCTATTTCAAATTTCTGGATCCACCACTGCAGGACCACTCCATCTGAGCGAAGGTCAGTGAAAATCCTGGATCCGCACCTGAGCTCCCGCCATGGTTGGGCTGAGGTTTAAAAAGTTATGATAATGGCACCCTTATATGGTTGGAAATGGCACTCTCATACCTAATTTGAATATCATTTTCTTTTCCCCGACTTTTTTTTAAATATTTTTGAAAAATTTTGGGGGCCCAGAGCGGCTTTACAACCCTCACTACCTTGAATTAGCTATTGAAATCCTATTATAAACATTTGACGCCAAGACAGGATCTCTGAAGATACATTTTTATAAATAAATTGTGTTCTTAGAAAGATAAATTCTAAACCATCTTAAACCTTATTAATTATATATATATATATATATATGTATAAATCAAGATAGCCGTTAACACTGTTAAATTATATATATAAATCATCAAAGAAAGGTAAATACAGTGTTCGAATAAAGGACATAATAATACATCGTGTAGCATAGCTCTCAACGAATGTAGTCCTGTAAATATATGAATAAAGAAATTGTGTAATAAAATGCCTCTGGCGGGAATCGAAGCTGCGACCTCTCGCTGTCAAGGCGAGCGTCATAACCATTAGACCACGGAGGATTTATGGTTGAACAGATTCAAATACCACCAGATACACTCCATTACACAATAAGTACGGCTAGAAACAAATAGTTGCGTATAATATATATCAAGATAGCCGTTAACACTGTCAAATTATATATATAAATCATCAAAGAAAGGTAAATTTACTGTGCTGGGGCAAATACGTTTTATAACTTAATCTCAGCCTTTAGTTTTAATAATAATAATAATAATAATAATAATAATAATAATAATAATAATAATAATGTATACTTAAAGAAGTATATATATA